TAACATCTTTGATGAATTTGTCAAAAGTCAGATCAAATAGACAACTTCCTTCAAAGAGCATACATGTGAGGCAAAGTTCACAAGCAGCTTCAGCTGAAATGAGAACCATTATGTAGATCTGTGTCTAAGTGCTCCACGAAGGTTCGACCCCGGAAGACAGGATCCTGCTGGTTCCTCATTGTCCTATTCCAATAAGGTGCAGTTCAGCAAACAAATAGCAGCGATAGGTGGTTGCAGGGCTGAGTCTGAAAGGTTAAAAAGAGCTTTTAAAAGTGTCTCAAATATTGTCAACAACATTTTATGGGCTGGTTCCCACTGGGAATCGCACAGAAACGTGGTGCATGTTCCTGTGTGATTCACAAGCAATTTTGTGCAGTGTAATTTCAGCCCAGCTAATTTGAATGGGTACTTTTGTACCAAGCAAGCCAGTGCAGGCAAAAGCCCTGCTTTGAGACCTACAGCAGGTGTCGTTAACATTGTACTCACACACACTGCAGTTCGCAAGGGAAGTGCGCATTGAATGAGGTTCAGGAAACACACACAGAACGCAGGCTTCCCACAATGTATTCAAATGTGAACAGGCCCCTAATGAAGAACATCTTCTATAGACACAGTAAGATGTTTAAGGCTAAAATGGCAGGGTCTACTACCAGAACAGATTACCTTTTAGTAAAATTTTCCCACTTCATGGAGTTTGCCAATGGTTCTTGGAGGGTTGAAAATCTTTTCAAGGTTAATTGTATCACCCAGGGTGGACTGACAACTCATGGGGCCCCAGGGCAATAGTGAATCATGGGGCCCATGTGTCCTTGCCCACACTCAAACCACACCCAAAAAAGCCTATGAAAGGTACCAGAGGCATCTTATGGGGCCCCCTACTGACCCTGGGCACTTGGGCAGTGCCCAAATTGCCTAAATGGTCAGTCCGCCCCTGGTATCACCATAAATTGCCTAATCTATTTTCTCATGAATGGGGAATGTCTTTTCTGACATAGCAAGTCTCTTAGTACCCAAGGGGGCATGGCAAAATGGAGGAGAATCACCTGTGACAATGCTGAGGCTTTTGTGCACAACAGAAGTGAGCATATCTACATTGGCAAGCGTGTTGCATTAAGTCATTACATCAGGCGTATGAGAGGCTGGGTGTGAGAAATCTTCTGCCGCCTCCTCTAACACTGCCTCTGGGTTCTCTTCATTCCTCTCAATGTCTGTCCTCTTCTACAATTCACTATCCAACTGCAGCAAAAACTGACAATTGATTCTGTGAAAGCTGTGAAAGCAGGTAGGGATTACAAATCTGGGGTGAAAGGAGGATTTTGGAGGAAAAATTGTAGGGGGGAGTGGCATTTTGTGCTATCCCACAGGCATGAGCAGTAACCATTGATTAAGTATATTGCACGGTAGAAGCCACAATAGATTATAAGTGGGTCGATAATAAGGGATCTGAGGCCAAACCAGAAGTAGTTTGTTGTTGTCTAATATTTGGGAAGTATTGCAAGCTGGGAGGCCAGGTAATATTGTGTTCGGGACCCTTAAATCCCCAGAGAGTTTAGGATACATAGTATTAAAAGAGAACCTAGGTCTTCAGTTGTTCCAAACAGTATCCAATTTCCCTTTTGAGTACTACACAAGACATGGTAAGGGACTGGGATTTTTAAGTAATTTTTTATCAGAAAAGGCAGATTTTGATGTGTACGAAAAACAAAAAAAATTGCAAAATTGCCCCAGTGGTTAAAGTTTTTTAAATTTCTTTTTAACAGAAACACATTTGTATATATTAACTTAACACAATATAATAAAGTATTCCTTCCAGGATAGTTTAGGACCACTCACTTTTTTGTGTGTTTACACTGAATTCTGCATGTTCCTGTGCATCTCTTCCCCAAACCTAATATCACTTTAAAAAGTCTAGCAGCACAACAGAAAGAGACAGCAGCATCATGCACCATGGGTTTGGAATATTTTCAAATTTATTGCCACAGACTGAGGACACCTTGCTGTAAATTATTATAAGAGAAGCCAAGGCTGTTCTAAGTAATTAGAAAGATTTCAGTGACCCGCAGATTGGAACATGGCTGCAGGTCATGGACCTTTCTGAGGACTGAACTGATGATGAAACTGCTATTTCTATAACCAATCATCTGTTATGAAAGATACGACAATTAAAATTTCATTTTTTTTAAATTATGTGCAAATGTTTTGTTTTTCACTAGCATTCTTTGGTAGGCTTAGGCCTCTTGAACATGTATGTAATAATTTATACAAAGGATCTTGCTGGCAAAAGATCCTAAATTATGCTCTGTAGAGACAATATGTGATTGTACTTACAGGCATGTAAATGCGTATACACGTTTAAAATGCTTCTTCATCCTGCTCTAGCAAACAGTGTTGCAATTTACACGTATACACTCATATATACTTGGGTATGCACAGAAAATTACTGTACTCGATCGCTGCACGACAGATCTTAAGGCAGGTTTGAGCACAGTCCCATTGCAAACATTGCACCTGTGTTCAGATCCATATAAAAAAAAAAAAAAAAAAAAAAAAAAAGCTACACAGCTACAAAACGTGGCATTTTTTTCCACTATGCACAAGAGGCTTTAAATTGTTATTAAACCACGTTTGTAAAAAATAAATGTAGCTGCCATGTTTTGTGCAGTGTTTACAGCAATGCAAGCCATTGAAAGTTTCCTCTGTAAAGTTTCCTATAGGGTGTCTCTTTCGTCTCCCTGGTGCCACCATGATGTATAGATATATGTCGCTGTCTTTCTGTGCTCTGGCACTGTCAGCCTTGCACATGCACAGTAGGGGACTGCTGGCTCTGTGTCCAACGGACGTACACACAGTGCTGTGCTTAGATGTCTAAAACACTGCCAGAGTGGCTCCCTGCACCACCAGGCCACAATTGCTGTTCAGAAAACATGCACTAATGGAACCTTGGGAAGGATAAAAAGGTACAGAATCTGCTTTAAGGGTTCAATACCACTTTAACCACTTTTAATACCTGCCACTTTTACCCCCTTCCTGCCCAGGCCAATTTTCAGCTTTCAGTGTTGTCACACTTTGAATGACAATTGAGCAGTCATGCAACATTGTACCCATAACAAAATGTTATTTTTTTTGCACGCAAATAGAGCGTTCTTTTGGTGGTATTTAATCACTACTGAGTTTTTTTATTTTTTGCTAAATAAACAAAAAAACAAACTTGAAAAAAACCTCCTTTTTATTATAAAATTTTCCAAATTAGTGTATATTATTTAGTCTGCAGGAAAGTTATAGAGTCCACAAGCCATGGGATATATATATATATATATATATATATATATATATATATATATATATATATATATATATATATATATATGACAATCTGTCAATGTACTGACAGCCTATCTCATTTCTTGAAGCCCGAAAACGCCAACTTAGTACAAATACCCCCCAAATTACCCATTTTTGGAAAATAGACAGTCCAAGGTATGTAGTAAGAGGCATGGTGAGTTTTTTGGAGGTTGTAATTTTTGATTACAATTTTTTGGAAAATATAGAAATTAAAAAATCTTTACATATTGTCACCAGTCCAGTACAGCGTGATTATATAACTGGTGTGGTGGTGATCAGGGACACTGACTGGTGAGAGAATGTAAAAAAAATAATTATTTTTTTCTCCACTTTTTCTATTTTTTTTTTTACTACACATTCTTTTTTCTTTACTATTTTTTTTTCAACACACTGTGACAAAAGCAATACAATGTTGCCATAGTAATACTTAACTACTCTGGGCAAGCGATGAGTATTTTTTTTTTTTTTTTACACATTATGATTGCTAATACCAATGCATTTCATGAATGAAACGGATTCATTCAGTCTTTTGTTGTGGTTAGCTGTGATTGGGCAAAGCTCATCACATGATACAGATGGACTGTGATTGGCCCTGTCTGTACCATATGACTGCTTTGACCAATCACAGTTAACAACACAATTGTATACAATGAATGGCATGACAGGAAACCATCCATTGTATACAATCGACGTGATCTGCTGTGATTGGTCCCAGTGGTCACATGACACTGGCAACGGGCCGGTGTAGTGCTATGTCATCGGCTGTGTCCCGTGGACACAGCCGGTGACAGATTGCGCCGCTGCGCAGATCCGCAAATGGCTGCTTTTGACTGGACTTCATATGATGCCCAGTCACAACAGCGAGTGCCCCGCCCAGCCGTCAATCTGCTATAGGCCGGGCGGGAAGGTGTTAAACTGAATCCACAAGAATTATACGACACGTGTTGTGTTTGAATGGTTCTTAAACTCCCATGTATTACAAGCTACAAAACTAAATATGAAATATCCTATTTTAACCTCTTCATGCTGAGTGCATGCAAATGTGCGGCCTCTGGGCCTTGATGCCGAGCGACCACACAGTTGCGTGCAATTAAAAAAACCATATGTGCAGAGAGAGCGTGCGCCCTGCGCGCTCCCAGCACACATGTCCAGTACTCACGAAAAGCTCCCGATCTCCTCTTGTGATCAGGACCTTTCCCGATCAAGTGACCGCCGTGACACTGAATGACGGCGGTCCCATGACCCTAAAATCCCACCTGCCTCCCGGCTTCTGAAACCTTTAACGGGCCGGGAGGTGCCAGCGCCAAGGGGTTAAAGTAGAACTAAAGAGATCAATACTCACCTTTCGAATGGTCCCTAGCCAGAGCCGGCATCTTCTCTGGTGTGCCAGTTTTCAGCCATCTTTATTGGCAGGCATGAGGTGGGGATCACTCATGCATATGCAGCTCAGTTTATATCTCAGACATCACTGTGAGCAGGCAGGTAGGTGTAGTTTATTGCGGAAGAGACACTGTAAAAAGGCTGCCTGCTCTCAGTAACAGTTGAACTTTAATTTATTTCTGTAATAGTGTGGCTTAAACTACGCTTGATTTTAATTAAAAGACTGAATTATTCAAAGCACTGTAGAAATGTAAACCACTCTGCTATTCAACACTTACCTATGTGCTTTGCCTCTCCATTTATATGGCTGAGCAGAGTCAGGGTTGATGGCTATAGCTTTCTCACAGTCACGAATTGCAGCATTTGGCTTCTGTAGCTTCACATAAACGCTGTTTAGAAAGTGAAAGAGAAGTTAAAAAAAAAAATGTCAGGCTGTAGCACATTTGTCTCCTATCTTACCTACACTATTTAAAGAGATTCTAAATAAAGTGATTTTATATATACAGTACACATACATACACACACTTATACATACACACACACAGTGCTTTCCTTTCAGAATCAAAATTTTATATGGGACACTATACTACAAAATACTTCCACAAATGCGGGCCATTGATTGAAAACAAGATTTTTTAATTTGCACGCACAAAAAAATATTTTTCCTAATATATTCATTCAAGACTATGTTGCAAAAAATGAATACACCCCAATTAAAGTTTTAGGAGCAAAGCTAAATTTTAGACAACAGAATCCTAACTAACAAGAATTCAACCACAGGTGAGTCTCATTATTCATTAAACAGGTGTCCAGCAGACAGCTGATTACACTGTTCAACAGGTAAAAAGTTTTGGGCATAAAATTAGCTAATCTTACATAATTTTGGGGTGCTGAAAACGAAAATGACCCTAAAAAATGTTGATTGGCTCTAGTTTCCATGATATATTCACCCATCTAATGACGTAAGCCATTCAAAATTATGATGCAACTTCAGCTGCATATTGCGCAATTGATACTGGTGACCAATAGAAAATTGCATGTATACTGAGATGATGCAATATTAGCCTTTAATTGCATCACTTCACTGCATAAAAGCTGCAGTATCTGTAGCTGATTGTAGTTCGACAGCGTCTTTACATTTCGTTTTATGCTTATATAGGCTACTCAGTAATGCCTCGAACTTGTGTGAATAAAGCAGATAATTCCTGCTATATCTGCGGTGAAATAACTTTTATCTCACAAAAAAGGAGGATAACAGGAATGATTAAGAAAGCCTACAACTTGTATTCTGGCTGCAAGATAGGAGACCAGGACAAGAGCTGGGCACCACATATATGCTGCAATTCTTGTGGGACGGCACTGGAGCAATGGTTGAATGGAAAAAAAGGCATCTATGCCTTTCGCTGTGCCAATGATTTGGAGAGAGCCAACAGATCATGTTAGTAATTGTTACTTTTGTATGGTTGCCTCCAATTGTAAAAGGGCTAAATAAGAAGAAAAAGTTATCTGTGCACTATCCAAATATTCCATCGGCAATACGTCCAGTTCCTCATGGAGAGGGGCTACCAATTCCTAAAGCACCAGAATCCTTCGTGGTTGAGTCAAGTGAGGAAGAACCTGAAGCGTGGAGTCACGTGCAGTTGTAAGAGAGAGCCTTTCCTTGAATACAAGAGAAAAGCCAAGAGAAGCAAAACCGACACAAACTGAAGACAAAACTAGTGAGAATCCTAAGTATTAAAATGATTCAACTTAGCTTATGGCTATAATTTTTCTTGGTAATCCTATGCAATATATTATGCTATTTAGGCTTTGTTATGTGGTCAATATCACTTGCTTTATATTTGTGGAAAGACATCTATCTATATAATTATTGTGCATTATGTAGTCATTACGCCTATAGTAGAAAACTTTCCGTTTACAGAAAAACTAGAGCCAATTGACAAATTTCATTGTTATATTTGAACTCAGAATGTGAAATTCATTAAGAAATTGATCCTTTTGTTTCCAAAACTGGCAAAAAATAAAAATTTGTTGAACAGTGATTAAAAGGTGTTACGTAAAGAAAACCCTTTGTCATTTCATGCTGTCAGCAATGGCACCACGTGGAAGAGAAATGTCACAAGCCCTGAGATAAGAAAATATTTTTTTTTACATAAGAAAGGTGAAGGCTACAAGAAGATCGGCAAAGCTTTACTTATCAGTCAGAATACTGTAACAAAAGTGATACAAAAATTTAAGATGGAACTGCAACCATCTCACTGAGATATCCAGGCCATTCATGGAAGTTAACACCTCGACAGGAGCGTCTTCTGATGAGAAGGGTTGAAGAAAATTACCATGCATGTTCACTGCAGTTAGCTAGAGGAGTAGATAGCCAAACTGGGGTGATTGTTTCCCGTGACACAATATGGCATACACTGCAGAGGAATGGCATGAATAGGTGTCAGCCATGAAGGGAGCCTCTCCTAAAGCCCATGCACATAAAAGCCTGTCTAGGATTTGCCAGGGCCCATGCTGAAAAAGAAGATGACTATTGGGACTCTGAAGTGATGAGACCAAGATAAATGTTTTTAGAACTGATGGCTTCAAAACTGCATGGTATTGCAAAGGTGAGGAGTACAAAAAAATGCATAGTGCCTACAGTGAAACATGGTGGTGGCAGCTTCAGAAGAAGTCCAGAGGTGACGAAACGCATCAAAGGACATGACCTCTGACATAATTCCGCAAACAGAAAGTGGCGGAGCGGCCATCTTGACTGTTGGAAAAGCAATACTAATGTTCCAAGAAGCTGCTCAGGATGAGTCATGGGAATATATTGCTGATTTATGTTATCGCCAATGTAAGCACTACTATTAAATGTTTTATTACGTACTATATTATGCTACATGGGCCTCTCTCTCTATTTTTATGAGGATGATGAAGTCTTAAGGGTTTCCCCTAAGGATTGGAATCGCATCTACAACAATCTGGAGTAGGAGTCTGAGGAGTGACTACACCACCTAAGTGAGAGTCCAGGTGTTCTCTGTTAAGGCTTGATATTACACTTATGAGGGTAATTGTATGCATTTTAGCCCTACAGAAGTGTTCACAGAGTGTTCACCATTTACTTTATTTAATTATTTTTTTTATTTGATTTTATTTTAAATTTTGATTGTTTGATTTGATTTATTTATATTTTTTGGTTTATGAATGTACACAGTTTGTTCACATTTATATTTATATATTTATTTATAGTGTACACAGAGTGATCTCACAATTCACGTGTTACTCATGTTTTGAATCTTGGTTTGTTTTGCACTTATTTGCTAGAAGTACATACTTATTGGTTGTTATAGTATATACTGGTTGTTATTGAGGTAATGCACTATTTTAGTCTTTTTATTTTTTGAGGTACACACCTTATCTGGATTTCTGGGAATATTGAAGTTGGACACAGAGGATTAATTTATTTGGACTTTAATTTTGCTATATGCATTGACTGCCACAAAAAAGGTTTTCGTATAATGGTGGTGGCAGTGTCCTTCTGTGGTGCTGCATGAGTACTGCTGGTGTCGGGGAGCTGCATTTCATTGATGGTATCATGAATTCACAGATGTACTGCTCTATAATGAAAGAGAAAATGCTACCATCACTCCGTGCCCTTGGTTGTCCACTTTTCCAGCATGACAATGATCCAAACCGCACATCTAAGGCCACTGTTGCATTTCTAAAGAAGAACAGGGTAAAAGTGATTCAGTGGCCAAGTAGGTCTCCTGATCTGAACCCAATAGAACACCTATGGGGAATTCTGAAGAGACAAGTTGAACATCACTCTCCATCCAGCATCCAGGCTCTAAAAGAGGCAATTCTTGAAGAATGGAAAAACAATAGATGTTGCAATACGTCTTTAAAAGTAGTGGTGTGAACCTCCTGCGCTTATAATCCTAAATCTAATATTCTACTAAGAGAAGCTGCTAACATTTAATCATATACCCATGATCTGTGAAATATAATATATATAAGGAATGTAGCACCACTCACATATCATAAATGTATAAAAATACAAAAAAAAAAAAAAAAATTATATATATATATATATATATATATATATATATATATATATATATTTATTATACACACAACACGAATACAAACTAGTGACAAACTATGTGAGCTAAAACAAAGCACTCCCCAAAGAGTGCCACAATGTAAAATAAGTGAAATGCCAGTGAAGTAATGCACAACCATGCAATGTGACACATCAAATACCACAAATAATTGTCTTAAAAACTGTGCGAAAAGGTGATGGTAAATAAGAATCCAAAAAAGAAAAGTGATGGGTCTATACCACTATAAATACAATATCGAATACATGAACATGCAAACAACTGGTACATAAAATTATTAAATATATTCGCCAAATACCTACTGGTGCCACAAAATATAACAAAAACCGTGTACCACCAATGAAGTACAATATATATATAAAACATCAATAAGTGCAATAGATGTAGGTACAAAACAGAAAAAATGAATGAAACATAAGTGACCAGTAATCTGTGCAAATAATGTGCAAAACACACACAAATTGAATCAAACTAAACATCTGATCTGTGCTCCAAAGTCCAATTCAGTGTGGATAATAACACTTAATCCAATTCAAAATGACACTCGTGCTGACGTAAGTGACTGTGGGTAACTGCTGGGAAAAAAATCCAACCGACGGCTAGATTAGCCTCTCACCTCAAAACTTCGAGCCGTAAGGGTCAAAGCGTAAGTGGGATCACACCCTAAGATCCTCCAAGCATGCAGCCTCTCCACTGGTCTGCTCTCACCGCAAACAGATCTCCCTCTCAGGGGGTCAACACTCAGATGGTGGCACCTCTCCAGATACAGGTAGGGGAAAGTGCCAATCTCTCATTCAGAAAACATAAACACAGCTTCCCATAGTGTAATATGTTTATTCCAAAAGGATCAATTCATCTTTTCAGGACAAATTTACGCCCTTCCTCTGGGTCCAAGCTGTACAAGGTGTGATCCCACATTACGTTTTGACCCGTACGATTTTGAGGGGAGAGGCTAATCTAGCCGTCGGTTGGATTTTTTCCCAGCAGTTACCCACAGTCACTTACATCAGCACGAGTGTCATTTTGAATTGGATTAAGTGTTATTATCCACACTGAATTAGACTTTGGAGCACAGATCAGATGTTTAGTTTGATTCAATTTGTGTGTGTGTTTTGCACATTATTTGCACAGATTACTGGTCACTTATGTTTCATTCATTTTTTTCTGTTTTGTACCTACATCTATTACACTTATTGATATTTTATATATATTGTACTTCATTGGTGGTACACGGTTTTTGTTATATTTTGTGGCACCAGTAGGTATTTGGCGAATATATTTAATAATTTTATGCACCAGTTGTTTGCATGTTCATGTATTCTATATTGTATTTATAGTGGTATAGATCACTTTTCTTTATTGGATTCTTATTCACCATCACCTTTTCGTCAAGTTTTTAGGACACAATTATTTGTGGTATTTGATGTGTCACATTGCATGGTTGTGCATTGCTTCACTGGCATTTCACTTATTTTACATTGTGGCACTCTTTGGGGAGTGCTTTGTTTTAGTTCACATAGTTTGTCACTAGTTTGTATTCACATGTGTGTATATATATTTTTTTTTTTGTATTTGTATACACTTACGATATGTGAGTAGCGCTACATTCCTTATATATATTATGCTGCAATACGTTGCCAACTTGTTCATTCCATGCCTAGAATACTTGGTGCTGTCTTTACAAGTCATGGAGGTCATACCAAATACTAGATGTAGTGGCTTTTGTTGTGGGGTGTATTCATTTTTGCATCAACTAATTTGAGTAAAATTGAAGATTTTGTGATCTAAGTTATATTATTAACCTTACTTTCATGTAATGAGCTAATCAAATGTTCTATAAAACTCAGTTTTGTCAAAACTATGGAAACTGTTCATTGAGATATTGATTCAAATCTTACCTGCTCAGTGCAATGGTTTTGCACAGAGCAGCCCTGATCCTTCTCTTCTGGGGTCCCTTGCTGGCGCTCCTGGCTCCTCCCCCCTGCCTAATGCCCCATAGTAAGCTGCTTGATATAGGGGCACTCGTGCAGGCTCGCTCCCGAGCAAGGCTCAAAGGGGTCAAGGGTGGTTTTCTACCGGGCAGAGAGAACCAAGTTAAGATCCCAGAAAGCACAAGGTGCTTAAAAGGGGGTAGTAAGCTCTGCTTTGCATTTTTAACCTACAGGCAAGCTTATAATAAAGCTTACTTGTAGGTAAAATGAATATCTCCTAAGTGTACACTGTTTAGGATAAATTCACATCTTGCAGCCATTGATGTCACTGGTACATACACACTGAGCTCTGAAGAGCTGACATACTGAGTATGCTGTTCCTCCAGAGTGCTGTACCACGATTGTGGCACCCGTGTGCATGAGTGGGAGTGATGTCATTGCGGCTCAGCCACTCAAACAGCTGGACCAGGGAGGAAGACTGGGTGAAAATGGAAGCCCTGTTAGCTTTACAAGCTTTAACACGAGCTCTGCTGGACAATGATAAAAGTCACAAGACTTCTCTGATGAGAAAAGGTATTTAGTAGTTTATTTTTACTAAAATAATTGCATTTCCATGTTCTGTGTACTGTGGGAGACAAGATATGGTGAATGCAGGGTCCTGGGTTAGTAACACTTTACCAGCTTCTGCGACGCCCTATAGCAGAAATACTGCTACAGGGCAGCACTGGTGCACCAAATCGCGTATATATATACATGATTTTGCAGTTCTGGGTAGTTTGCGGCCTCGCCTATCAATCACTGGGTCCCAGCCAGTGATTCCCCGCCAGCATCCAGCAATCTCCGAAGATTTCCGATGGGGGAGAGACAAACAATTTGTGTAAACAATACAGATCTCTCCCCTGTCAATTCCTGCACACTGCATTGTATGGCTCTGCATAGCAGAGCCATACAAAGCAGTGTGCTTACAGCGAAACACACACACATCCCACATAGTAAAACAGCACACAGATAACCCTTTGATCGCCCTACATGTCAACGCCTTCCTGGCCAGTGCCATTAGTACAGTGTCACTGCTTTCTATTAGCACTGATCACTGTATTGGCGTCATTGGGGATGTCAGTAACACCAAGTCAGTTCCCCCAGTGTCAGAATGCCCGTCGCAGTCCCGCTATAAGTCGCTGATCACTACTAGTATTACTAGTAAAAAAATAAATAAAAATTCCAGTATATATATATATATATATGCCACCATTTGTAAACGCTATAACGTTCACGTAAACCAATAATTTACACATATTAGGATTTTTTTTTTTTTAGCAGACATGTCAGAATATATTTTGGCTTAAATTTGTTTTGTAAAATTTTTTACTAGACATGTTTAATAGCAAAAAGTCAGAAATATAGGTTTTTTGTTTTTTTTTAATTGTTGGTCTTTTTTTGTTTATAGCGCAAAAACTAAAAAAACGCACAGGCAATCAAATGCCACTGAAAGTAAGCTCTATTTGTGGGAAAAAAGGACGTAAATTTCATTTGGGTACAGCATTACATGACTGTGCAATTGTTAGCTAAAAGGCCTGGTCAGGAAGGGGGGGTAAATCCTCTGGGAGGGCAAGTGGTTAAGCAAGGAAGAAGAGAAACATGTTTATTGGTGCCCAGGCGCATATTAACTGTTATATTCTATCCCCCCCCCCCTCACTTTTTCCACTTTAAATTTTTCTTCCAATTTTAATCTCGCACCTCACCTTGCTCTTTTTGCATACAACATGGCAATCCGTGGGTTCATTTTTATGGCTTCTGTTAGTAAATCTATGGCTTTCTGGAAGTCACCTACAGAGGAAATGAACAAGGAAAAGTGTGACAAACAGTAGGTTTTAAATAGTAACAATTTTATAATTACGTTTTTTAACAACTGAATAGACAGTGCCTGATAAAAAAAAAATATTCTTCCTCTGTATAGCTTCTTTCATCATCACACATTTCACATTTGGTCAATTTGTAGGAGTGACAGTACTGCATCTGTACTGTGACCTGTCATCTGATGAGAGTTGATTAACCTGGTGACATGTTCTGAAATTCTTTTTTTAATCCAGTAGCAGTGAACACAACATGAATGAAATGTAACAGTGTAAAACAAAGACTTTAACATAGATGCTTGAAACAATGTCTCAGTGACCAGAGGTTGTAATCTCTTTTGTAGACAACATTGTAAAATATATGTAGGCAGAAATCAACATTGGTTTTCACTTTTAGATAGAAAAACATATCTCAATGTAGAATGAAAGAAAAAACATTGTTGAAGATATAAGTGACCATGTGTTTATTAAGGGGTGATGGGTGGTAGAAAGTACAGTTCCTCTCTGTGTCGTTTACCAGCTAGGTTCACCAGAATGGTTAGATTTGTTAGGTCTGGCATAGAGTTAAAAGTGAGCAGAAAGTCAGGGGTGACAGTCAGTGGAAGCAGCCTGGAGACCAGAAAATACACAGGATATTGGAGAAACAGGAGCAGTGGTAGGACACTACTTCTTTAGAAGAGGTAGAAGGAAAATCTAGAACGTGGCCCACTCCTCCTTATGGATGATGTCAGTAAAGAGTTCCTTCAGCCTTAACCATCACCATGCCCATGGGGGATAGTGGGAAAATGTTAAAAGTGTGCAAATGAGGCAACTGTGAGGAAGTTTCCAGTGTCTCAGTGTGACCTGCATTACTCAGTATGTGAGGTCTTCTACACAGTGCACCCTGAAGGATATTCTGTGGATTCATACCTCAAAGTGATTTGTAGGTGACACAGTACATTAGATTAGTAAAGCATCACAAATAAAGTCCTAGTGCCAAAAGCACATCTCATGGAAATCACAATATCTGACCATACAGTAGGATATTGATATAGCCAAAATTTGTTCAGACAAAAGGTGTCCGAAACTAAATGAGACTGGAGAGGCTGGGTAACAAAAGAGGATGTGTTTATGGCTCTAAACTCAGTTCCCAGTAGTTAACATATTACACAAAGTTCTTGAAAATGCTAAAAATGTAGATTTCAGTAGGTGAAGGTAACGAACCAGGCTACCCCACAAATTACCATATAAGTAAGATGCGATAAGGCTTTTAAAAGGTATTTTGAGGACTGACCTTTATCTTTACCACTGAACACTTTATTCACAAAAGTGAGAAAATAAGACTGGGTCACACCAGTGCCACTGCTCGAATTCAGAGAAATACGCTCTGCAGTTATACAGTACACAGAGTTTGGAACATCCATTGGCTTATTTACAAAGTAGTTCAGTCAGACTGGGCCCCAGCGGTAGTGCAATGGATCGGGACAAAGCACAGTACCCAAAATCTGAAAAGCAGCATAATGCAGAGCCCAATGCCTAACGGTCAAAAATTAGCCTATCTTCGCCTTGTCCGTGGAACTTTTCATAGATGGAGTCTTAAAAAACTGAGTTACACCTGAGGCTGCAGACCAGGAGAGTGCCCTACAACTACCAGTATACAAAGGTTTGGAAGATGCAAAAAAGCAGAGCCTAGAGCCTGAAGATCACATTTCAGCCCTACAATTTTCAGTCTAGCAGGGTACAGCCCTCAAAACTGTGGAAGATGCAAAAAAAAAAGCAGAGCCTAGAGCCTGAGATCACATTTCAGCCCTACAATTTTCAGTCTAGCTGCCCTCAAAACTGTTGCTGGTGATAGCTATTGTGGGAAGATTAGCTCAAGCAGCTTATGTGGGGTTTTGTCTGAAGTTAGCAAAGAAATACAGTACATCCATGGTGTAATGATTATCTTGAAAAAATGTCAGCAAAAATAGTTAGATTTGTTAATCATTGTTTTCTTGTTAAAAGAATAATAGAAACTTAGTTTAATTTTATTAAGTTAGTGTAATCACCTTTATCTATATATAGTATATACCAGTATCTCACAGAAGTGAATACACACCTCTCACATTTTTGTAAATATTTTAAATCTTTTCATGTGACAACACTGAAGAAATGACACTTTGCTACAATGTAAAGTAGTGAGTGTACAGCTTGTATAACAGTGTAAATTTGCAGTCCCCTCAAAATAACTCAACACACAGCCACTAATGTCTAAACCGCTGGCAACAAAAGTGAGTACACCCCTAAGTGAAAATGTCCAAATTGGGCCCACAGTGTCAATATTTTGTGTGGCCACCATTATTTTCCAGCACTGCCTTAACCCTCTTGGGCATGGAGTTCACCAGAGCTTCACAGGTTGCCACTGGAGTCCTCTTCCACCCCTCCATGATGACATCACAGAGCTGGTGGATGTTAGAGACCTTGCACTCCTCCATCTTCCGTTTGAGGATGCCCCACAGGTGCTCAATAGGGTTTAGGTCTGAAGACATACTTGGCCAGTCTATCACCTTTACCCTCAGCTTCTTTAGCAAGGTAGTGGTCATCTTGGAGGTGTGTTTGGGGTCGTTATGTTGGAATACTGCCCTGCGGCCCAGTCTTCGAAGGGAGGGGATCATGCTCTGCTTCAGTATGTCACAGTACATGTTGGCATTCATGGTTCCCTCAATGAACTGTAGCTCATCAGTGCCGGCAGCACTCATGCAGCCCCAGACCATGACACTTCCACCACAATGCTTGACTGTAGGCAAGATACACTTGTCTTTGTACTCTTCAAATGAATCATTTCCCCGATGAAGCCATGTGACCGGTGGCATAACGCGTAGGGGAGGGGCTCTGACGTCACCACGCCTAGTCGGCTTGTCATGGCAAGTACAGCAAGAGCACACAAGGAGTTGTTTACCAAGGCTGATTTTAATTGTTTTTCATGTGAGTGGGATTACTGGCTTTGTAATAAAGTGTTTTAAAAGGATAAGGCACTATCTCTTGCTTTCTTTTTTGCACCATATATGTGGAGTTTTTGGAGAGGCTATAAGGAGGAATAGACCCCTGGAGGTGAGAAGGAGGAAAATCCATCCATCCATTCATCCTCAGACTACCATAGGATATTATACAGTGGAGAGACACCAGGTGGAAGATTAGCAAATTACAGCGTGGAACCATCCAAAGGAATTTAGGAGCAACAGTATATACATCTATCCTTTTAGGATAAACAACTATTTTAGCCTACATATTGGGCAAGAAAAGGAGGTGAGCGCATAATAGAGCATTATTCTTCCCGCAGCCATCCATGTGTTGGAATAAATCCATTTTTTATCTTAATATTTCATGAAAGGAGGACTTTTCTTTATTATATGTTTTTGGACACATGTTGATGTGCACTCAACTTCTTTGGTCGACCATGGCGAGGCCTGTTCTGAGTGGAACCTGTCCTGTTAAACCGCTATATGGTCTTGGCCACCATGCTGCAGCTCAGTTTCAGGGTCTTGGCAATCTTCTTATAGTCTAGACCAGGGGTAGGCAACCTGCGGCTCTCCAGCTGTTGCAGGACTACCAGTTCCATCATGCCTATGCAAGTCATAGCTGTAACTGTCAGTTTTGTAATGCTGCAGTGCCACATGGGAAATGTAGTTCCACAACAGGTTGCCTACCCCTGGTCTAGACCATCTTTATGTAGAGCAACAATTCTTTTTTTCAGATCCTCAAAGAGTTCTTTGCCATGAGGTGCCATGTTGAACTTCCAGTGACTAGTATAAGAGAGTGAGAGCGATATCAAACAACTTTAACACACCTGCTCCCCATTCACACCGGAGACCTTGTAACACTAACGAGTCACATGACACCGGGGAGGGAAAATGGCTAATTGGGCCCAATTTGGACATTTTCACTTTTGCCAGCAGTTTTAAACATTGATGGCTGTGTGTTGAGTTATTTTGAGGGGACAGAAATTTACACTGTTATACAAGCTGTACACTCACTAACTTTACATTGTAGCAGTGTCATTTCTTCAGTGTTGTCACATGAAAAGATAACAAAATATTTACAAAAATGTGGGGGGTGTACTCATTCCTGTGAGATATATAGATTATATACACACACACACACACACACACACACACATATACACATACATATACACACACACATATACACACACTGGATATAAAAAGTCTACACACCCCTATTAAAATGTCAAGCTTCTGTGATGTAAAAGAGACAAAGATAAATGGATTTCAGAACTTTTTCCACCTTTATTGTAACCTATAACCTGCACAACTCAGTTGAACAACTGAAATATTTTAGGTGGAGGGAAGTAAAAATAAAAAACTAAATAATATGGTGCAAATTTGCAAAGGCATCTCCTGTGCACAGCCCTCTTCAGATCACACTACAGATTTTCGATCGGATTCAGTTCTGGGCTCTGGCTGGGCACTTCCAAAACCTTAATCTTTTTCTGGTGAAGCCATTCCTTTGTTGATTTGGATGTATGCTTTGGGTCATTGTCAGGCTGAAAGATGAAGTTCCTCTTCATGTTCAGCTCTCTAGCAGAAGTCTGAAGGTATTGTGCCAATATTGACTAGTATTCGGAACTGTTCATAATTTGCTCTACCTTAGCTAAGGCCCCAGTTCCAGCTGAAGAAAACAGCCCTAAAGCATGATGCTGCCACCACCATGCTTCACTGTGGGTATGGTGTTCTTCTGGTGATGTGCAGTGTTGTGTTTGTGCCAAACATATCTTTTGGAATTATGGCCAAAAAGTTCAACCTTGGTTTTATAATACCATAACACATTTTCCCATATGCTTTTGGGAGACTTCAGATTTGTTTTTCAAAATTTAGCCGGGCTTGGATGTTTTTCTTCGTAAGAAAAGGCTTCAGTTTTGCCACTCTAACCCCATAGCCCGGACATAGGAAGAATACGGGAGATTGTTTTTACATGTGCCACACAGCCAGTACTTGC